CTAGAAGCGATGCCCTGCTCTGATCCCTCACTGTCAGGAGGGTGATTCTGAACCAGGAATAGGTCCAGGCTGTGATAATGAGGATAATCAGGTAAACGTAAAAGCTGCCCGGTGAGACAGGGCTGGGAGGGTATCATTTATTCAGGCTATTGCTAGAAAGGCTGCCAGGGGAAACAGCTGCTGTGCTCGTACATCAAGGAGGAAACGACTCACTCTGCCAAAACCCAACAGGAGCAGAGGACACAGGACATGGAATTAAAGCTGTCTGCGAGTGACCTGGGCAGAAAACCAGGGGCAGAGGTGGAGTCCCAGAGCAGATGTGGAGTCCCAGAGGGACGACGGTCCAGGAGAGAGCCCTGAGCTGGGTGCATTGGCCCCGGGACTGTGCTCTGACAGCAGCAGGCTGAGCCCACAGCTCCCCGTCTACACCAGCCCTCCAGCCCACTTTTCCTGCAAAGCCATGTCTGGAGGCCGTGATCACTCAGGGGAATGTTTCCATGAGATAAGTTGGCTGAGGGATACGGGAAAGTCTCTCACACCCCCACCACAGTTAGGGCTGCAACATCCTGCATCCGAGCTGGCAGTTCCTTCCCCGTCCCGTGGAGGAACAAAGTCCCAAGGGTTTGCAGGCAGCCAAGCCCCGCAGCCCACACGCGCAGGGAGGGTGCCCATGGCCTCAGAGCCACAGAGAGCCCAGCTCTACCTGGGCTCCTCTGCAGGGGTAGGGACACCTCTGTCCCCTTCATTTGGAGACCCCTGCTCCTTCCTTCCACAGCTCACCCCAGACGACCTATATCTCACTTGGAAATACATTCTGCTCCCTGCCTGAGGGGAAAAAAAAGAATAGTGCCCATTTCTTGCCCTGAGCTAATTAGAAAAAGCAGTAAGAAAGCAAACTACTTCTGCCCAGGTCTGCGGCTGCACCGGGGCTGCCATGTGGCCCTGCCTGCACCGCGGCAGGGGCCGAGCACCGATGCGCCCGGAGCTGGGACCCACTCAGAGCTGGGAGCCACCGGCAGAGCCCGGGCTGAGCTGCGAGAGCCAGTGGCAGGAGCAGGTTGTTGATGCGTGGTGAAGCAGCCACGTAGGAGGCTGCGATCCACCCACAGCGTTTTCTAAGTGTGCTACTCCCCCTATAATTTATCCTGCCATTTCCACATGTTGGGAGCAATGAAAAAACATCCCTTTCACTTGGAAATACCCTTCTCTGAGAACAACCTGTTCTCGTCACTGCCGTCAGCGGGCAGGCAGCGCTCAGCTTGTTCCACGTTCCTTTTGTGCAGGAACAAAGAGCTTTCCATGGCAAGAGCCTGCGCTGCAGCAGGAGATGAGGAACCACTCCACACGCTGTGCTGCCGCTGAAAGCATCGCGTCCCTCTCCTGACAGCCTTAATCCCAGCACCCAAATTCAGAGAACTCCCTGTCTGGCAGTGAGTTTGTTCCGCTCACCAGAAGGTTTCCCGCGGGCTGGTTCATCACTTCTCATTCACTTTTAATTCCCTTAGAAAGAGCAGGGCTGCAGGTATCACCTCTAATCTCACCGGCCCAGCCCCCATCTCTCCACCGCACGGCTCCTGGCAATCAGTGGTTATTTACTCGTGCATTCTCCCCAGTATACTCCCTCCCTTGGCCCCCATGCCTTTCACCTTGAATCAAAGGCATAAATTACCTGAAGATCATTTCAACCTGCTCCACATCGTTATCTTGTTCTTGCAGGGTGAGTTTAAGATCTCACCTCTGTCCCCTGCCAAGGCTGGACCTTTTCCTTTGCTGGAGTTTCTTCTGCTAGCTCCACCTCTGCAACCTGTTGCACCCTGCAAAGAATCAGCTCTACCTTCCTGCACAAACCTGGGCACCACCAGGGAGGGCTTCACTGCTGCTCTGTGGGCTGCAGAGAGCCTGGGGAGCTGGGTCCCGCACCACCCATGGGGACCGGCACAGCTCTCCCCTGCCAGCACATTGGGGAGGAGGGGGAGACCCATCAGCTCACCTGGAGGAGACTGCAGCTGCAGCACAGGCAGCTCCATGGGGGTTCCAGCACAGGGAGTTGGGCTCCTCAGCCCACTCCCAGCCCCCTCTCTTGGGTCCCTGCAATGCCTCAGTTTCCCTTTAGGCACTTTCCCGACATGGGTGTTACTTGCAGTCACACAGGAACCAAGGCCGGTTGAATCTAGTAGCAGCATGGCCCTAGAGACCACCGTAACCAGCAGCTAAAACCTCTTCTGGAGGCTAGAGGGGTTTGCTGTGCAGCTTCTGCCCTCACAAAACACAGCTTTTTGTTATTTATATCCAGACAGAAAATAGTCATAAAAAGTAAGTCTACAAGAGATGTTTCTCCACTCTGTGCCCCTGTCCCACAGCAGAAGCAGCTCCATCCAAACTCTCCCTGATAAACAAACCTGCATGCTGCCCTGCAGCTCCTGGGAACAGGACTGCTGAAGCTGTCAGAGCCCTTCCCAGCCACCTCCTCCCCAGGACATTTTGCCACTGACAAATCAGTTCCTGTTTCCTCCCAGGGCCCAGAGCGCAGAGCGAGGATTTCATCTCCGGGCTGCAGGAGCCCGTGCGGTCGCTGATGGCAGGGACCAACACAAGGCATGGGCTGCTGCAAAGTGCAGATACGAACGCAAGGTTTAATGAGACTTACAGCCACAGAAGAGCTTCAGAAATTACATAGTGGTGACTAATTTTGCTAGACTGTGTAAGAAGAGCACACTGCTTTCTCAGGAAAGCTCTTTCCTCATAACCTCCCAGTCCTCATTTTTATCGTAAGCCTGTGGGAACAGAGTGCCTCTAGAATTCCTGCCTTTCTCTCAACATTCCTACCTTAGTGGGCAACCCTGGGGCTGGGGGAGGCCAGCTGGCAGGGACACGCGTGCCTGGCCTCCAAGGGACCTTCCAGTTCAGGTTTAAGTGGGCTGAAGCTCCAAGGGAGGTGCAGAAGCTCCATTGCGGGAGGGGATTGAAAGGCAGCTCAAAGGACCTTTGCCCACTGCAGCTCTGAGTTGGTGCTTTCTTTGCAGGTTGTGCTCGAGAGGTGGCAAAACTCTGTCCATACCGGAGCACTGCTGACTGCTGCCGCCAACCAAACACGCAGAGCATGTGAGACCCCACAGGACCCAACACTATGGTTGCTCAGAGAAAAGGAGAAGGCCGTAGAGGAAAAGGGAGCAGTTGAGACCCACCAGAGCAGCTGCCACAGGGAACTGGCTCCAGCACTGAGCTCCCTGGTGAGGCCAACAGGCACAAGCAAGTCACAGGGCTACGTCCTTCCCTAGACCGTGTCATTCATAACATACAAAGTGGAACACGTGAAGTGACTCTGCAGTGTTTTCCAAGGTCGCTGTAGGCTGAAGGTCGCTTTGCAAAGGGCTCTGGGGCTGCCTGGTAGAAGCTTACTCCAAGCAGCTTTAGATCTGGTGGGAGCAGGACTGCTCCATGCATGCGACCACACTATGGATCCGTGTTACAACCATACAAGCTCTCAAGAAAGGATGGACTTCACCCTGCAGCTGCTGGTCGGGTCCTGCCTTGCCATCCTCATCATGATCACTCTCTGCGGTAACATCATCGTCTGCCTGGCTGTCACCCTTGACCGCCGGCTCCGCAGCTTGACAAACTGCATCATCGTCTCCTTGGCCATCACCGACCTGCTGCTGGGCCTCCTGGTGCTGCCGTTCTCTGCATTCTATGAACTCGCCAAAGAGTGGCCCTTTGGCAGCACTTTGTGCAATATCTACACCAGCCTGGATGTCATGCTGTGCACGGCTTCCATCCTCAATCTCTTCCTGATCAGCCTGGACCGCTATTTTGCTGTCACCACCCCACTCCGCTACAGCCAGCTGGTCACTCCCTTCCGGGTGACTGTTGGTTTGGTTGTTATTTGGACCGTTTCGCTGATGGTCTCCTTCCTACCCATCCACCTGGGCTGGAACACCAACGGGACAGCAGTCCAAAACACAGTCCCCAGCTGCAACACGGAGTGCACGCTGGAGGTGAACCCTACGTATGGGCTAGTGGACGCCTTGCTCACCTTCTACATCCCCTTGGTCATCATGTGCATCACCTACTACCGGATATTCAAGATAGCGAGGGAGCAAGCCAAGAGGATAAACCACACATGGTGCTGCAGCAGCAACACCCCCATGCCACCCATGGTGAAAGAGCACAAAGCCACCGTGACACTGGCGGTGGTCCTGGGAGCATTCACTGTGTGCTGGTTCCCCTATTTCACAGTGTTCACGTACCGGGGGATGTGGGGGGACAGCAGGGTGAAAGGCACACCCATGTCCATCGTCCTCTGGCTGGGCTATGCCAACTCAGCCCTGAACCCCATTCTCTACGGGACGCTCAACAGGGATTTCCGTCTGGCATACCAACACTTGCTGCACTGCTGGAGGACTGGGGGCCCCAGGAGCTCCCACCTGCCTCCCCTCCAGAAGCCCCAGCCCAGGGGAAGGAGCTGCAGGCAGAGTCAGGGCAGGCAGGAGGGTAAACGCCTGAAACTGGAGATGAAGAACGGGAAGGGGATCTTGCTGACCGGTGGAGCCCTCAAGAGGTAAGAGCTTTCTTACACAATGGGCTTTGATGGTAGGTCCCTTGCCAGAGAGGAAGGCAGAGTTGGGGACCTCATGTTGTCCGTGAACTTTCAAGCAACAATCTGAATGCCCCAGCAGGAGATCCTTGCCCAGGCAACTCTTGCTCTTTGCAGCCACCCAGAAATTCATCACCACCGGCGGGGACACAGCTCACGTTCCTCTGTGCTGGCAGCACTGCTCCAGCTGCTCCAGCCTCACACACGGCTGGCCACCCCTGCAATCGCCACCCATTCACAGGGAACACCAAATGTCCCTGGGCTTCGCTGAGTGGTCGGGCTGCAAGCCCCTGCAGGAGCCAAGATCTGGGTGCCCAGCTCCCTGCAGAGCAGCTCAGCAGTTTCCCTTCCCCACCCAGCCACGCGCCCTCAGCATTTCGGCTGTCAGTTTGCATCAGCAGCGAATTCAGCCAACAGCAAGCTCCATTGCCATCTCTGGAAAGGAGGAAGAATAGCCAAAAATTAGGTTGGAAAATTTTTTTAGAAATACAAATACCCATGTAAAGCTACAGAAAAAATTCCCTCAGTGTCATCCAGGCATATTATGGGGGTCAGGCCCCTCGGAGGGGTGTGGGTGCAGCAAGGGAGCTGGATGGGTGCAAGAGAGGTGAACTCTGTACCGGGCTGTGGCATCAGTCCCCTCCCTGGACACCTATGTCCCCACGGGGCTGGGCCACCCGCACACTGCCTTGACCAAATTGTGGGCAAATCTTACCAAAACCTTACCCACCTGAGCATAAGGAGAACAGAGAAGTGTGCTGTCTGCTGCCAAATGCTGCTCCCAAGACTTTAATTTAACTTCTAGGCAGCGCCTGATAAGCAGCCCAGAAACTTTCCATCCCGTAGATAAGGAGTCCTTTGACTCCCCGTTCCCAGCGTGCCAGGAAAGAAGCAGCGCTCGTGCTCTCCTGCGGCACGTGCCCTTGATCCTGTCCCAGGATCACGGTCTCAGGCCACTGAAAGGAGAATGTAGGGAGGGGAACCAAAGGGCAGAGCCATCCAAAAGGCCCAGCCGTGATGTTACCCAAGGCAGAGGGGCAGCTTGGGGCAGGGGAGTCTGCCCCGGGAAACACAGAGGGATGGATGAGTGCAAATACAAGATGGCAGCTCCTGGGGCTTCCTTTTCAGCTTCCGAGGAACTAAGGAGGAGTGCAAGGTATAACATTTGGTAAACGTAGTTGCAGGTGTATATAAAAATATATGGAGAGCACGTGTCTGGCGTAGACATGCTTCTGCAAACATAGAGACACAGAAAGAGCTGTGCTGTTTACTCACACGAAAGTGCAGCTCCTGAGCAAACTGGGAACTTGTGCACTGGGGCTCTGCAGCTGGAAGGGCAGAGCCGGTGATGGGAAACAGGCTGGCGGGGCCTTCCTCCGCAGCCGAGAGGGAGAAGAGACAAAAAACATCAATGACGTCTCACAGTGCTGCCTTACCACAAAGGGACAATAATGAGATAGAAGAAAAGAAAAGGGGAAGAAAAATGGGTTTCTGTTCCCTGGGCAGATGTCAGGGTCACTGAGAGCTTTCCCAGGTGGACAACTTCCTTCCCCTGGTTCCCCGGCAGGCCTGATCCTGCTGCAGGAGTTGCATCCAAAGCCCACACTGAGAGCAACGGCAGCCAGGGGACCTCCATCCCCAAACTCTGTGTGCAAGTGCCTGGTGCTGGCAAAAATCCCAGCGCGGGGACCCAGCACGTGGCTCCAGACTGTCCTCACCCCTGCAGGGTAAAGTTCCCCCACCGCTAAAACCAACCCAAAGCAGTCTCCCAGCTGGTTTTGCTCCCAAGGGTGCAGGAGGCTTGACGGTGAGCGGCTGCCGGTGCCATAACAGTGCCCACACACACACGAGCTACAGGAGCCGTGGGGAAGTGAGAGAAGACGACTCAAGCACGGGATGTTTCTTGACCTTTCTAAATCCAGCGATCTCCCTCCTGTCCTGCGCAGCACCACCGCTGTGGTTTCTGCTCGCAATCAGATAAGAGTTGCTCGAGCACCAAATGATCGGTTATTGCTTTTACTTTCTCTACTTCTCTTAGCCCGCTCACTCGTGCAGAAACAATGCTCCAAGGATCGCATGGGGCCCCTTCCAAGCCTTTTTTCCGTAGTCAGATAGATAAACATCTGCTGGTGGCAGATGATCTGGATCAAATAACACCACACGAGACAGATGGGCACAGGATTTACCTGGCCGCCAGTTTCACCCCAAGCACAAACCGAGCTGGTTCCTCTCCCTCCTTCCCTCTGCGCAGTCCTCCCAGTCACCTGCCCTGGCCACGTTAACAGGAAAAGACTAATATGTATCACTCCACAAACTTGTAACCCCCCACATAAGAAGGGCCAGAGCTCAGCAGAGCTCTGCTCAGAGCAGCTCCACAGAGTCACCCAGGGGAAAGTGCAACCGGCAGTGTTTTGAACTGTTGCCCTTAATAAAAATGTTCTTTCCTATTATGAGGCACAGCAAAGATAAGCAAAAGGCAGTAGGAAGACTGGAGACCTGCAGCTGGTCTCAGCGGTATTAGGAGCGGGGATAGGGAGTGAGAGCCATCATTTCTTTGGAAATCAAAAGACCATGGAAGCACCACAGCCGTTCAAGGGCTGGAAGCATTTCCACGGGTGAGGACCAGACAGGGTGGAGAGTGCAGGACCAAGCAGGGATGAAAGGGAAGCCAGGTGCTTCTGTCTCCCCACCAGGCACCAAAGAGGCAAGGCAATTCCTGCAGAACCAGCAAAGGAGAGCACTAGTTGCGTGCACACCAACTGATGGACCTCAGGAACCTGCTTTGCTGCAGTGGGACGGGACTCTGAAGAGGAGCATGCCAGTTGCAAGACCCATCACTGAGGTCCAGAGAGATTAAAAGCCTGAGAGAAGGAATGTTCAGCACTGACGGGGAAGTATCAGGCAGAAAACGCCAGAGCAGAGCGAGCAGCTCTGTATTCCCCTCTTGCACACATCAGCTGTGCTCAGGGCAACTTGGGGCAGGGCCACGGCCACAACACATGCGCAGAGAGAAAGCAGTTCCTGTAGGAAAGGATCACTGTCCCAGTCACGACACGCCTGCCCATCCCAGTGAGGAGAGGCCAGGCAGGCAGTACCTGGTGCTCTGTAGAGCAAAGCCGATCTCAACTAGGCTGGCACTGACCCACCGACCTCTTCTTTTTCCCCTCTCTTCTTTCTGTCTTCCTGTGCAATTTAACCCTTTCCAGCACTGGAGCTTTCCCGTGAGTCTCAGCCTGCCCACTGCCCTAGAACCCCGCATCTCCCAGCCTTCAACTCCTGGCTGCCCTCTTCCAAAATCCTGTGAGGCTGAAAGGACAACACGCGATTTTCCTCAGGGAGAAATTCAACGGCAGAGGCGAGGGCTGCAGGGTGAGTACAGGGCTGGGGTCGCTGGGTGCGAACGAGCAGAAGGCGCAGCTCTCCCTGCGGTGGCACCCACTGCATTTTCCCTGGTCCAGCCATCCCATGTCGATGGTACCTGGTGCAGAGGGCGATACCATCAGAGATGCATCCTCACTCCTCTTCCCAGCACCATTTGCTCCACAAACCCAGCCCCAGCCTCAGAGGAGGTGCACAGAGCTGTGCACCCCCCGGCTGCCCTGGGGCTGTGGGCTTTACGCAGCCCCCTGCGATGCGCTGTAAGATGCCTGCATCCTGCCTGTCCCTCCGCACGCTGCAGAGCCAGCTGCGTTCAGACCGCAGATTTCCAGCACACTTCATTTTCATGCAAGCCTGCATCAACTTCACATAAATTGCCATCAGCTTTCACAGCGATGCTGGCAGGGCTCCCGGGGTGAGGGGCTGATGCTGTACCAGGCGTCGCTGCGCTCTCCCAGCAGTGGTGGGCTGGAGGATGTGGCTGCCGTGCACGGGGATGCCTCTCAGCTCCACGGAGCCACTTTGTGCAGCCCTTCTCGGGAAGAGCCAGTCAAGGTCACCCTGACCTCCAACGCTGCATGCTGATAACCTGGGCTCTCCTGTATTGACTGTGCCCTAGGGAGGGAAATACGGTCACCCACGTGCTGGAAGCTAGGTACACTTGTCCCTGCTGCACGCTGAGCACTGCTGACCTTAGCCAAGGTCACGGTGATGGCGAGAGCCAGTGCTGCTGGCTCACACATGCGGCTGGGACATAGCTGGGGCTCCTGCAGGAGAGCACAGGGCCCCCCGCCCTGGGGCACAGCAGCAGCTTGCACCTTTCCGAGGGAGTCCCTGTGAGTCACCCTGGAAATGCCATTGCCTGTCAGCAGGAGAAGCAGAGGCTTGGAGAGCAAGGTGACAGGGCACCAACGTCCCCGTGCCCCTGGCAGGCCCCTCAGTGCGACTTACCAAGGCACAAGCATCGCTCAGCAGCAATGTCACAGTGCAGAGGCATCAAGGGCCCTAGCACTGCCCCGCGGGAGGGAGCAGGGTGAAACCCCAAGCCTGGAGGGCACCACAGCTCCAGGTGAACGTCCCTGGGGCAGACACAAGGCAGAATCATCTCTGTAGCTGTCATTGCCCGACAGCGGGGGCAGAGGGGACGCCACTTCCAGCTCTTCTGCTTCATGCTTTCCCTCTGTGCCGCACACATCTTCTGAAACACATTAAGTTTCCATGAGGTAAAGGCAAAATACCAGCCATCCCCCAAGAGGCTGCTAATCTAAAGAGCAGAATGAAGAAAAGTCGGTCTGAGGGAGAGGTTTGCAGGAGATCTGAGGTCCTGATGTGGCCACAGATTTCCTCTCTGCACCATGGGGGCGGGGGCAGGAAACATCACCTCGCATGGGGCACCTGCCCAACAGAGTCCCCGACACGAAAAAGTCCCCAGCCCACATGCAGTGGGCAGGGAGAGGGACCATGGGCGAAGGAGCACCCAGGAGCAGAGCACCGCTGACCCCAGGACACCTACTCTTATTGAGCTGTTTGCAGAAGCGACAGCCCAGCTGCTGCTGGCTGGCCCAAGTGGGTGTGAAGAGGAGGCAGAGAAAGCCACAAAGCAAAGTGATGTTACTCAGAGGGATGTCGGATGATGGGTCCTGAGGTGACGTGAGCCTGCTCAGCTCTGCCCAAGTGTCAGCGCTCAGCATATAGCCACGCTCTGCTGAGAGCATCCCCCCAGCATCACACCACTATCCCTCCCAGGCACAGCAGGTACTTAATGCAGCATCCCTTATGCTGGGAAGAAGGAAAGAGGGAGAAAGGGACCCACCTGCACCCTGCAAAGCCATTGAACCTCCTGTCTGTTCCCCTGCAGGATCCCTGCTCTGGCAGGCAGCATTTGCTGCATCCCCAGACACTGTTGGAGAGGCCTTTGCCTGCCCAAGTTTCTTCCCAGGAGGGTGGTGTGTTTGAAGAGCCCTCGGAGGAGCTGCAGAAGAGCCTCTGCCCTGCCTCATCAGGGCTGTGACACCTCCAGCATTGAGCCCTGCGCCGGGAGGCAGCAGTGCCCGAGG